GGGAAATTCACTATTGCGTCCTAGCCAGAACGGTGGCGGTGTCGGTCGGCAAGACAAAGATTTCCAAATCAGGAGTCCGAGGGGACGGATTAGATTGGACAACCCTTACTGTTGAGGAAGTGCGTACGTAAGGCCCTGCAAGCAGTCGTCGCAAGTGGTCTCTCCAGGTAAGTTGTTGCCTGTGTCCACCGGTGAGGTGATTAGACCCCAGCACGTGTGTGCGCGCGCCTTTCGCTCTGTCTCAGTGACCGCCGGCCAATCAGAGAAGGAGCAGCTGTAGTTGGCCTCGAGCACTCGCTAAGCCAATGACAAACCTCGTGCGGTCCCCGCAGCAAAGCGACGGGGCGCTTGAGACGGACAGGACTGCAACGGCGGTTCTCGCAAATCGCGATGGACGGATTATTTGGTTTTATGGTCACTATTTCTTAAGGCGGCGAGATCCAAGAACCCGGGAAGCCTGACGTGTGAAGGTACAAAATGCTGGTCAAGTGTTTGATAAGAATAGCATGGGTATGCTTGTGTAAATTTTGAGTGGTTGGGATGTGAGGACCGCATGCTAAGACAAAACCCCATATGACACGATCCACAGTCTACTGACAGATAAGTGGGGTCCTTCGCTATAGCGCTGCCTAATGCACTTTGCTTAAAACTGTTCAATTATATCCTCCAAGCAATATGGGTAGCCTAGATGGGTCTCTTTATCATACGCCAGGCATAATCGTTCATAAATTTGACCTTAACAAGCGACACCGGAAGCCACCAGATATACATATTGAAAAGCCAAAAAGAAACTTGAATAGTTAGAGACAGAAATTCTGAGACATTTCCCCACGCATTTATCATTGCCAACTACAAAAACTTCTCCGGGGACACATTCGACTCATTTGCGTACCCCGTGCGCCGTAGTTTTCAGACTCTTAACAGCAGCTGAATAGCTGAAGTGCTCGGATGTAGGCTGCAGGCAGAGTATTCTAACCATTCACAATTTGACAACAGGCAGTCAGTAGTACACACGCTCTGCATTATTCACTACACCGACGACACAAGTGCGAGCTAAAAGCCCAGATGCGCGTGTTCGCCGACATTCTGTTGGTGCAAGACAGAGCCGCGACGGCTTTGGCTCATCAGTGTGTCCCCTGGTCTTGATTGGGTGATGATGGCCACTCTGTCAAAAATAGTCGTTTCAGTCTTCGCTGGATTTATCGGCAGTAGTTCCATATAAAGATAATGGTAGGGGCTGCTGATTAGGCTCAAGAGAGATAGTCAGTAAGGCACAACGGAACGAGTGAGCTCCGTAAGAACGATCGCTGAGCGTTCCTGTACCCTTGTATATTCCCGATCGAAACTGACAAGACGACGGGCCTGTGGTCCAGTGGTTAGAGGCGTTGGAATTCTAACTAACAGGTCACGAGTTCGAGTCCCAAATGTTCCACTCTTCGAAGTTGGATATGACTGACTGACGACGGCTAATAAGCCAGAAATGGCCATCCCAGTCTCACTCGTCATTATCGGTAATAACATGCTGCATACATATATAAAGGATTTGACTTGGTGTCTGAAGACGAATAATCACTTTGACAGAGTAGCAGCTGTACAACATGCGGTTTTGTCTGGTTAATTATTCCATTCGCGCCCAACCGGGTACCCAGCTCGCAGCTGCGGCCCTACAAAGATGCTTGAGACTCAGCGGCAACATCTCGACAACCAATTCGACCGGCCAATTCAGATTCAATGTTCAGTTTTATCGTCAGATCGATTTCGTAGCAGTGAGGTCGCCCCTTTACCCTCGACTAGCCGATGACTTCATGGGGAAACTAGAAAAAAAATCAGCTTTGTTTAATTACAAAGGACCTTTATTCCTATGCTCGATATGTTGATGACATTTTCGCAATAGCGAATGATGAGTGTGGTTTGAACACCTTGGAAAAGGAGAACAGAGAGTGCCTCCCCTTTCTGGACGTCCTATTTAATCGAATGCCAGATGGAACAATTCGCAGTAGTGTACTTCGTAAAAAAACAAGGACAGGACAATACGCAAATTTCTGCAGTTTTGTCATGCTAAGCCTGAAAAGAAGCTTGGTCCGCTGTCTCATCAACCGGGCCAGGAGAATATGCACTCTAGATAGGCTTGAACATGAACTCGTCATTATATGAGACACTCTGGGAGAAAACGGCTATCCGGAATAGTTTATCAACCATTATATGGAAGAACGCCCTCCAAAAGCTGATTTGTCGACAGCTGAGAAGAAGAAATTATTTCCCACACTGCCATTTCGAGGGGATCCAGCGAGCGAACTCCTACATCGTCGCCTAAACGCTGCTATGCGCGCACGTACCCAGCAGTTAGGCTAAGACTAGTTTTCACAAGCGCTCCGCATCTACGCCTTGAAGGTAAGGATAGACCGCCTTTTCAGCCCTCTTCAAAGTGCATCTACGTCTTCACCTGTTCTTGTGGGAAGGCTATATTGGTCGAACAACTAGGCGTCCATCCAAGCGGATGTGAGAACAGCATCCTTCCTGGTATAATCAAGTTGTGAAAAATTCCATCTCTAGCGCAATTGTGGCTCACTTGGTTGACAGCGGCCACCGAGTAGACGCCAACCAAGCCATCCGAGTCATCAGTAAAGTGCCGGCGAGACACTCCAAGTTCCTGCGTCAGCGAACACTTGCGACGGCAGGGGCAGTGGCCATACGGTTGGCCAACCCAACCTTGTGCTCGCATGAAGGGTTTGTACAAGCGTTAAGGCTCGCCCGCGCACAGGTCAACCCACAATATGTGTTTCCAGCCGTCACGTCGCTTAGCAGCGATGAGACAGGGACAGCCAATGGCCAGACACCTCCCCTCTCCCCTCTTCAGGCTTCTGATAGGACTAGACTCTGACCCCTAACGTCTGAACTTTCATTGGCTACTTAACTTCTGCTACGTTGCCCTCCCTTATACTGCTGGTAGAAACGAACAGGCGAGTTCCAGGAAGCCGTTCAGAAGACGAAGATGCACTCACTGGAACAAGGAATTTATTGGCCTGGCATTTCGGGTTCTCAATCGAACTCATCATCAGAGACAGTCGCAGATAAGGGTAATGGTGGCACAAGGAGCGCAGTATTTCCAGCATGTGGCTACCGTAGGACCATATGAGGCCGAAAGACCCACTGCCATGGCAAGGAACGTCTGGAGTCGTTTACCGGATCTGGTGCAGTTGCGGATGAAGCAACTACGTTGGTGAACCTGGGGAATTACTCCGGACGCAAATTGGCGAGCACACAGCAATAGTTAGGCAGGGAGACGCCAGTTCTCAGGTGGCGGCTCATTCGACAGGACCCGGCCATATTTTCAAGTTTCAAGAAGCCGGAATCCTCGCGAGGGATGACAACCGCGTGAGCCGCTGGCTGCTCCAGTCATGGTTCTCAGGCCGTCAATTCATCAACAAGCGCAATGACCTCCATTACAATATTCCATGCTGAGATTTTCCATGGGCAGGGTAACGGATCACGTGGGGAGGGCGCGGGTGAACAATAATGCTAGTGACAGTGAGCCAATTTGCCTAGCCATCGTCACACCAGCATCCAACACGGATGACGAAATCGTGGCGATTAACGACTCGGACTCGGACTGACAAGCCACCACCGCATCAATTACGACCCCAGCGGCGATTGCGAGAACTGTTAATTGCAGTGCGCATACGGTGCCACGGCAGCCACGTGCTATAAATACTGCACTCCTGGTGCCACCTTAACCTCTATCTGGGAATGTCTCTGATGATGGATTCGAGTGAGAATCCGAAACGTCAGGCCAATACATTTCTTATTCCAGTGATCGCAACTTCGTCTTCTCCGTTATATTACTGTGCAGGCCTAATGGTGAATAATCGAAAGCGTGCGTTTGCTGGACTTGACTTCCTAAAAGCTAAATTGAGCCGAGCTCGATTGTTTTTCCACTCGGCGGAGAGGTGTGAATGTGCGATCGTTTTAGCTCAGCGGGGAGATGTGAACGCTATTGAAACCCACGGAAACCCAGAGGCTTACTGCTAGCTGAGACAATTTAGCCAGTTCCTACCCCGTCGCTAGTGGAGGTAAAAAAGATCGCTATCGACACTGTCAAAACCTTCCTGACTAATTTTGCAGTCCCGCTACCGAGCGACTTTCGCTGGCGTATGCGTGTAGATCCCCACTGTGTTGCTGAAAACGATGGCGCATTTGGGCGCACGGGAACATTGCACTTTCCATATTATGCAGCGAACCCTAGAATTTATGGACACAGTTTCAAGCGTGGATTACGAATTTGCCTGTAAGGGCTGCTACAATGCTGCTCTCACATGAAAAGAACGATTAGCTGCATTGCCTGCGAACTTTGTTTGACGCAGCTTAGATTACTTAGATGTAAAATGCAATTCTTGACTTAGACATTCGTATTCAAAGCGTTGTCGAAGATATCCTGAAATTTGGGACATATTTGCACTATAAGACGACGAGAGCATGAATATTTACGGTGCACCCCCAGTGAATTCAAGGGGACAATGAGTCTGAGGATTCTAAATGGCCTGGGTTCTTCTGACCAGCCATGATCTTCTACGCAAAGTCCCAAAGTGTATGCATAATAAATGGTCATAAGTCTCAACGGAAATAAATTCAAGATTCAAAATATACTCGTCCCTGTGATGTTATTACCGACAAGGATAAGGGGGACTGGAATGGCCATTTCTGGCTTATTAGCCGTCGTCAGTCAGTCATACCCAACCCCGAAGTGTGCCGCCGTGCGGCTGCTGGTTGGGCTCGAGAGAGAGCCCATAAGACACAACGGAACGAGTGACTTCAGTAACAACGATCGGTGAACGCCCCCTACCATAACCGTCCCTAAGTACGTTATTTGATTGTTTTGCAGATATCGGTCCGCCCTATTTTCAGCAACTGTTGCTGGTTCCTTAGCGTAGGCTTTACCTTTATGCGTTCTCATGGAAAACACTGTAGGTCTGGATAACTAGAAATATATTCACTTAGTGACTATGAAAGATGATGATGATGATGATGATGATGATGATGATGATGATGATGATGATGATGATGATGATGATGATGATGATGATGATGATGATGATGATGATGATGATGATGATGATGATGATGATGACAATGATGGTAGTGGTAGTGGTGGCGGTGGCGGCGGCGGCGGCGGTGGCGATGATGGTGGTGGGCACCGTTTTCTAAAGGAAGGACCTAACGTTATGATGGCCGTGTGGAGGAATCCTGCCTTATAGCGTGAAAACTTCCTCATCTTCAAGGACCTTTCTAATGCTTGCCGTGACAGACCGTCGCAGAATGTTCAGGTGCATGGGATCAATCAGAGTAGCATCAGAAGGAGACGCTCCTGCCTACCGTATTCTCTCCTACTGCCTCGGTTATCCATACACTCGCAAATGTTTCTTTGAATTAAGCTGTTGAGAACCTGCTGTTCACCGTATGATTTTTCTAGAAAAGGATGCTTTGAGATATGCTTTCTATAAAATATATTAGAATTTACAAGGACACTTAAAATGCATAGAAAAATTGATATAAATTTACTAAATGCTTTTCGATGGGGTTTTCGTAGGCGGCCTGAAATACGCACATTCAAAATAAATTCGATTTTTAACGCACGGTAAACAGCATAAACGGGGCCATGAAAAGAGAGGATTTGAATTAATTTGTTCGCCGAATTTATATAGGCAAAACCTCTGGAGTCGGAACTAAACGCAGACTAATTTTTTCTCCAAATGTACATTTGTCTACCTATATTCGCACCAGAATAGGAGCAGGCAACCGATCGACCGACGCATTACGAGAACACAAGAGACGACTTTGGGACGATTCCATGGTCTCCCAGAAGCGCACAAAGAGGGCGCTGCTCTCCGACCCACCACGTCACTCAGAGCCACTCTAACGGGCTAGCAAAGTGGCCATTTGATGTCCTACATTTCTAACCGCCGATTCAGACCAAAAAGTCAGCTCGTCAACACAATGCTTGGATAAACCTGCCAACCGACATCATGGTAACGTCTAGATCACCGAGTTTCTCCTCCGAAACAAATATGATGATATGAAAAATCGCCTCGAACATGTCTAAATCCTCCAACTCAAGAACCTCTGTCCCGATATGCGCATCACTTCCGGCGGAGCAATCTACGTCCAAGTAAGAGGCGCGTCTGTGATTTCGCCGATTTCGGGGCTTATAACTGGAACGATCCTGCTATGGTTTAGGTCGCTGGTCTTCCAACACCACAGACCGAAATTTTGGGTTAGGTATGTGGATGACACCTTCTTCTTCATCTAATGGGATCAGCTGCTGAGGTTCACAGAACTCCTAAATACTGTATTCCTGGGTACACAATTTACGATGGAGGGGTTGGGGGGAGAAAGAACACAATCAGGTGGCCTTCGTTGATGTACTCGTCTGCCGCGAAGATTTTGGTGGCCTAGAAACCAAAGTGTTCAAGGATACGGCAAATCTGACGCAGGTACCAATCTGCACCAACAACCGCCAAATCCGCCACAAACGCGGCTTCCTAAGGACACTCTGTCGGCGTGTTCAAGCGCACCGCAGTGAACTGGACGGGAAAGTTCATGAATTGCAGCATATTTTACGCGTGCCTAGGGCGAATAGCAACCCGCACAGCCTTGTCAGACCAATCCCAAATCTTGTTAGTACATCCCATATGCAAAGCAAGGTATTATGCCAGAAACGGAAATAGGACAGGTTGGCATTTTTAAAAGAGAAGCACGCTTTTATTTGGAAAGTATCATTTCGAATTCTTCAGCGCAATCTTTTGGTGTACGCCGAGCGATATGCGGAAGCCACGGCGCATGGGGCGGAAAGATTTAGCAACAAGTAATTCAGTGAGAAGGGGATGATAACATCGTCCAGAATGCGCTGAGCAAGCTGTTTGACCATTGTGAAATGTCGTTCTAAAATGATATCGACCAGGATGACATGAGAAACAGCGGCAGCAGAAGAGGCATTCGGAGGAAGTATCTTAAAATGGGTACATCTTACTCAGCAAGACAGAAAAAATAACGGGAGTGCAAAAGGGATTAAGAGGAAGATTTCATGCATCAATAAATGTCCGGGTTAAGAACAGGGGGTCGTGGTAGAGACGCGAAATTCGGATGTAATGAACAATTCAAAAGGCAATTTGGCGAACATACGTCTGCTTTCGATAAATTCTTTTCAGGCCTGTAAATTTATATGGTTATTGAAGTAATGCAAGTACATAATTAAGCTGTAGCTCGGGTTTGGGGAGGGGAGGAGGAGAGTGAAACACCACAATTCCAGTCAGCGTCAGGGAGAAGGTAGGTCCCGGCGAAGGTAATTACATGCGGGTGGTTGGCTTGGTGGCTTTGAACCATGGCAACTGTGGGACCCGTATAAAGTTCTTTTGTGCACATGGGACCGGTCTTCGTAGCCTGATTTCAGCCGCCTCTGCCGTAGCCAGCAATCGCTACCCAGGTAGTTTTGGATAGCTCAATGGGACCTTGTAGATCACTCTGAAGGCCGCCCTGGTGTCTACGCGGTGGTGTGTGTCTACCATGGGCGTGAGGCCTGAGCTTTTGATGTTCCTTATTTGACCCTTTCCTAACCATGCTGGAAGATGTTCTTCTATTCTTTTGGATAATCGCCGGCTCGTGCGACCAATATATTCTGCCCCACAGGAGCAGGTGAAGAAGTAAATACACATAGAGGTGGTCTGAGCTGGTAGTTTGTCCTTACCCTCTCCGTATAGGATGGGACTGGTGGAGAACAGAACACGGGTGTCAGCTGTTGGAAGAGCCTGTAATACAGCTTGAGTTAGGCGTCTTCCTAAAGTTCACCTGGTGCATCCCCTTGAAACGGGACCCTGACGGCAGGAAAGTAAAGGCTCTTCATCAGGATCCCATTTGAAGGGGATGTACCAGGTGAACTTTTAAGAAGACGCCTAACTCAAGTTGTATTACAGGCTTTTCCAGCAGCTGACACCCGTGTACTGTTCTACACCAGTATTACTTACGGGCAGCATGATTCCAGGATGTTTTAGTCATGTCACGATGTTGGCTTTTTAATGCGTTTTTTTCCAGTCGCCTCCGAGAACCACAATCGGCAAAACGTGCCGCTCAAGTAGTATTATTTTTTCCCTTAATTCCTTGGTTCTTGCAGACTCAAATATACTTTATAGAAAACATACACATCAATACCACTTCTTGCACTTATCTGGTAACAAATCAAATCATGCATGATTTTACGTTTGAAGAAATGGTAGCTTTCGATTCAACCAGGTTTACAATTATGAGATTTTTTAAGACGACGAAATGTACATTCAAACAACACAGTTTCTTATAATCAAATCAATCCTGGTGCCTTCGATTTGCACGACGTCTTTCTTGATGATCGTCTGCTTCAAAAAAAGGTATCCGTATCCATCTTCTAGAGAAACGGGCCACACTGAGAGCCGCAGTAATTTCGTTCCGTCTAATGTCAGAAGTCGGGGAGCTGTAGGAACAGGTTTATTCTGTACTCAGGGCAGGTTCCGTTATTTGGTTGTTTGCTTGTATCAGAGAAGAGCGTCAGTCGCAGTGATTTGTTTACGCGAGTGTCCATGTCTGTAGGAGGGAGCGTCTAGTCGGGCATTGGACACGCGATTGGTTGGTTTGGGGTCAGAGTCGGGTGGGATGATAACAAGGCCCAGACTGTCCGACGCGCGCGAGGCGGTAAAAGTTCATGTGCGCAGCTGTGACTCATTACAGCCGTATAAAAGGCGTCCCAGCTCAGGCCTGAGGAGTGGTCATGCGTCAGGGGGTGTGTCTGGATGTTAGCGCGGTGGTCGCGGGAATAGACAGACAAAGAGACGCCGCGAAAGGTTGGGCACTGGAGGGGCGGGTACAGACTACCATGAATGAAGACGCACATACCGGACACCCCAATCTGCTTTAGCTCCTCGGTCAAGGACAGTTACCGGGGCATTGCCGCTGTACTGAGAACGGTCTCGTAAGGCCACGGCTGAGAGTTGGGTGCCAGAGCGTGGTGAGGTAGAAATATCCACCAGGGTCGTCGATGAGCTTGGTGGGGGGGGGAGGTGGTGGCGTCAGTGTATTGCCTCCAAGTGCCTGCTACAACCGTGGTCGATGCTGTCGACCATGTTTCCTCTTCATTCGCCGGCAGTGTACCTGCAGCAGGAAACCTTCGACAGAGTTTGGTCGTGCAACGGCCATTCAGCCGCATGGAGTAACTGGAAATGACCTCTCAGCTGCAACATGCATCCCCGCCCACCACAATCCGTAATTCCCAAGCTGACCATACGGAAGAAATAAACTTTTGATGAGAATCAATCAGCGATACAGTCAGGAAAATCGGTTTCATGATTAGACCGCGCAGAAACAGTAGGACTAGTTTTAAGCTGTGAACCTCTTGGAGTTCCAACTCTGTCGATCTCTGTGTAAGACCTGTCTGGCTGTAAATCGAGGTATACTGGCACTAGGCAATAGTTTTATAATCGTCGATCGTACTGTTTGCATGTACTATTTTCCCAAACACAGTCATTACATTCGGGTGCATCTCAAAAGTCTGGCGGGGATTATGGCACCGAGATGCTACCTGGAAATCGAGCATCATGGATCCCAGAAGTTCCAAGCCAGATCAACATTTCAGTATTTTGTTAGACTGGGAACCGGTCGGTTTTAAAAAGTTTTTGTTTATGAGATTTTTAGGATCGTGAAACACCCGCTCAAAACATCGGGTCTCCGCGTTTACTAATGCTGCCTGAAAAGTTTACAGCATGGTTTAAATCCACTGCTAAAATTTACTAACCCCTTATGACCTACTCTCAATGCCGTGTAGAACGGAATGATTTGCCGTGTACGGAAAATATACAGCTTGTACTTTGGAAACCCCGGATGTAAGTGTAACGGCAGATCGCGTTAGAAATTATTCGCGAATTTGAAGACTTTTTAAAAACCGAGTCCAGCCTTCCTTCTAATATAAAATTTGAAGCAAACGCAATTTTTTTCTAATGAGTAAAGGAATTAATATTTTAATGTATGCTTTCCATTGAATATGTTTGATTTTATAAAGGCGCCGAAAATCAATGAGAAAAATTCATGTTACTTGAGCATTCATTTTTTGCAAAGTGTAGTTTTTGCAGGCTGCCGAACAGAAGTTCGCTCAAAAGCTGGCAGTTAGTGGTAGCTGAATTATTTTGGGATTATGTTGCACGTTGATTTATATTACAACCCTACTCAAGTAATCTTTTCG